TTCAGTACCGTACCCGGGTCTGAAGCCGGACTGAAATGGGTCCAGATGATTTCGACAATCCAACAGTCGAAATCATGCTGGGACACCTCCTTTTTCTAACCCTAACCCTACCCTGGTGCACACCCCTAACCCTAATGCAGGGCTGAAATTCCATTGAAAGTGGGTGATTTTGAAAAAGCCTTCCTGGAGTAGCTTTTTCTGCCCAGCTCACCATTTCTGCCCATTCTGAACACAATCCAACAGTCGAAATCATGCCGGGACACCTCCTTTGTCTAACCCTAACCCTACCCTGGTGCACACCCCTAACCCTAATGCAGGGCTGAAATTCCATTGAAAGGGGGCGATTTTGAAAAAGCCTTCCTGGAGTAGCTTTTTCTGCCCAGCTCACCATTTCTGCCCCTTCTGAACACAATCCAATGATCGAAATCATGCCAGGGCACCTCGTTTGTCTAACCCTAACCCTATGCTGGTGTACACCCCTAACCCTAATAGAGGGGTAAAATACCATTCAAAATTGGAGTATTTTGGAAAAGGGTTCCTTGACTCGCTTTGGCACCACCACTCCTTTCCGGGCATGCGTGCGGCCCCCGTGCGCGCTCAGGTGCTGGGGTGCTGCTGGCGACTTGGCTCCCATGCGGATGAAGAGGGCTGTGCGTGCCTGCTGTGGCTCGCGTCCCACAGGTTCGCCACCACTGGACTAGCTGGCCCGGGAGGCCCCTTCTGGCTGGCCTTGCTGCTCTGCTCCAACGTGGGCTCGGGGGCAGCTCCATCAAGAAGGGCCCCGGCACAGCCACCTCCCGCCCTTCTGCTCGGACCGCAGGAGCCGGGCCCTGCTTTGCGTAACCCCGACAGCCATGCTGTCCTGACTGGTGAGTCACGGGCGCTGGATTCCCTGAGGATCAACTGCTGAGACGTGGTGGGAGAAGTCTTGGCTGCCCGGCGGGGGGGGGGGGGGGCATGGGGACTCTCCCATGGGAATTAAGAAAGTTGGCGCTGCGGGGACGGTTCCAGGAGCTCCCCTGAAGCCTTTCAGTGCATGGCTGGGAAATACTTTGGGGCAAAACTACCCCCTGCCTGGACCCAGCGACCCAGGGGTGGATAATCTGGCACCCTCCCACAGCATGCTCCACCGCTGGAAATGCAGGCTTGGGCTGATGGGCGTTGTAGTCCACCACATCTGCAGGGCAGCAGCACCAGCCCATTCCAGCCACGCTCCTGCCCACCCTGGCGGCGCTTCTTACCCCTCCCCTGCACCTATGCCGGGCTTTCACGCCCCTCCGGTGCCCAGCCAGCCACGGAGCCCCCGCCTGACCCACCACAGCAGGCCCTACTCACTGGCCCGAAGCCGCCTCCGGACGAGACGCAGTCCGGATGGGACTCCAGGTCGAACATTTTGATCTGCTGCTGCGGCGTCTGGCTGGTGGAGAGGCGCCAGGGCTCGGACAGCACCTGCGGGACAGACGGGACAGAGGCGCCAGCACATCAGGCGCAGGCGCGCAGAACGGGCCTGGGGATCGGGGCCCAGCCCGGGGACACCCCCCTGCTCCCTCGCCACACTGCAGCGGCGCCCCTCCAATTCAAAGCCCCCTCTGGACCCTTCCGCAGGCTCACAGGGGCCGCGAGGGGCCCGACGGCCACCGGAGCTGCTCGTCCCGCCGTGCCCATGGCTGGGGGCCGGCTGCAGCATCCCTGCCTCAGCCACAGGGGTGGAGGAGGGGCCCCCGCTCTGGTCCATGTGCCGGTTCAGCGTGCGGATAATTGACTGGTGGATCTGGTTAGTCGGGGTGGGCATTGCCAGGGGGCCCAGGAAGTGGCAGGCAGTGCCTGGAGAAAGGCTGGAGGAGGGGCCAGAGGCCCCCGCTGCCCAGAGCGGCACCGAGCCCAGCCTGCCCCTGCAGGCCACAGACGGGCCAGGCCCCTCCCCGTGGGTCAGCTGAAGGAAGCCCCGGGCCTCCCCCAGGGGCCCCCAGCACCCTCGCTCCCCCGCTCCCCACCAGGGCGGGAGGCAGCCTCTGGGCACAGCCAAGCAGTGGCGGGGGCACAGAAGGGGGTGCGGAAGCCCAGGCAGGTGCGGAGGCTCCCTGGGGCGAGGGGGAGCCCGTTCGGGGGAGACTGGGGGAGGGCAAAGGCGGGGTCGCGTCCCGAGGGGCGCGAGCCGCCAGGGCGGCCCGGGGGCTCGTCCCCCACACACACACGCACGCGCAGCAGCCAGGGCTGCGTGGCGGGAGCCGCACCCCTCACCTTGGCGAGGAAGGGCGAGTCCAGCCCCAGGTAGCGGGACACCACGTACAGGCAGAAGAGGTGCCGGTCGATGCCGGCCCCGGTCATGGCCAGGCGGTACATCTGCTGGTGCTTCTCGGCCGCCACCTTGAACAGCTGCAGGCGCTCTGCGGTCTGCGGGGGGGGGGGGGGAGCGGGTCAGGGCCCGGCCGGGCCAGCTCTCCCGGCAGCACCGGGCCGCCGATGCCCAGCCCGGTCCGGGAGCAGCCCCGAGTCCCCCTCCCACGAGGGCCCCTGCCCGGCTGCACCCGGGGGGCAGCCACAGTTCTCCCTGGAGAGAGCGGCCACCCGGGCCAGGCTCCTGCTGGAGGCCTCAGCGTGAAGCCCCCCCACCCCCCACCGCTCCACTGATCGGCCCCACTCGCGTCCGGGGCGGGGGGCGCTCCAGGGGGCCAGGCGTGGCAACAGACGGGGCAGAATCCCCGCCGGGCTTCGTGGCCACGCTGCTCAGCAAGAGGAGGAGGGAGAAGGTCCGGCGCAGGCGAAGGGTGGGGGGGTGCTGATCAAGGGGGGCAGTGGAGGGGCCTCTCAACTCCTCCGGGGACTCACGCTGCAGGTGGCCTTCGCCATGCTGCGCACGAAAGCGGTCGACTCGCTGGTGCACGAGCGCACCGTCTCGGTCCGGCCCTCCCGGAACAGCCGCGTCATGGAAGCCTCGTAGGTGAGGCAGAAGCAGCCCTTGTCCTGGAAGGGGAGCCGCGAGAAGCAGGCTGGCACAGGGGGCCCCCGGCCTCCACGCTCCCCCCCAGCCGGAGTCCCGCACGCCGCCCCCTTCCCCTGGAAGCCGCACGTGCGAGGGGCCGGGGCCGGCCGGGGGGCAGGCGGGCTCCGGGGGCTGGTGCCGCCCGCAGGCCCTCGAAGGACCAGGGTGCCTGCGGGCCCCGGGGGCATCCAGCCGGCCCCGGCAAGAGGTGGCCAGGGGGGCGGCCTGGCGGGAGTGGCGGGGGCTCACCCGGAAGTGCGCGAGCTGCAGGGCGATCTGGATGAAGCTGTCCGGGCTGGTCCGGCACTTCTTGATGTAGCCTTTGCCGAACTCCTGGAAGCGGAAGCAGTGGAAGTCCACGTCGTCGGCGAGGGCCCTGGCCACGCCGTACGAGGCGTCGATGGCCTTGCTGCACTGCAAAGAGCCGGGGGGGTGAGGCCACGGGGCCCCTCCCCACCCTTGCCCTGGCGCACCAGCACGCCACGGCCCCCGGGTCGTGCCCCCTCCTCACATCGAGAACATCCCCACCGGCCCGGGAGAGCCCCTGCTGTCCCCGGGGAAGACCCAGGCCCGGGGGCGCCCCAGCCCACCCTGCCTTGCCCACACCCCCGGCAGCCCTGCCGGGCACCCCGCCCCCCGAAGCCCTACCCGCGAGCCAGCCCCGAACGAGGCCTCCGGCAGAGTCTCCCCCGCGTCTCTGCACGAGCCGCTGTGCAGAGAGCAGCCCTGCCCGGAGGAGCCCCCTGGCCTGCGGCACCGGCCCCCGGCCCACGGGGACGGGCACTCCGCTGCCCCTCGGAAGGCTGCGCCCACCCAGCGCAGACCTGGCTGCAGCTGCGCTTCCGCACCGGGGGCCGGGTGGAGGGGGCCGGGCCGGGCCGGACGAGCCGACCCCACACGGGGCCCACCGGAACCCCCAAGCAGGAGGGCGCAGGACCTCGCGCTGGCAGAGGAGGAGCACGTGGCCAGCAGGGCCAGCAGCCCGAGAGCCTCCTGCCCATGAGTCTGGCGTCTCCTTCCAGAGCCATCCCGACGGGTGGCCAGCACCGCTTCCCCAGGCAGCAAGTCCCACGGCTGAACTGCGCGTGGGGCAGAGACGCCCGCGTCTCCCCTCATCACCCTCAACCGCAGCTGCAAACATCAGGATGAGGCCGGAGAGGCCACGCGCAGCAAAGCTCCCCTCCCCTCCCCTCCCCTCCCCTCCCGCAGCCAGAAGACTGCCTGCCGGCCCAGGCGGCCAAGCGTGCGGGGCTGGCAGCGCACAAGAGGCCGAGCGGAGGGCTTCTGTTGTCCTGGCAACAGCAGCCCGGTGGGGGCCGCCCAGAACCCCCTCCCAGGCCCTGGTGGCTGCACACCAGGGGCTCCCTGGGCCCTGAGGACGGCACGTGCCGCACCTCCTGAGGAGCCCTGTCCATCCGAGGCCTCGGAGGAGCCCCAGGCGGAGACGCAGCGCAGTCCTGGGCCACCCCTCCCCCAAATGACATGCGAACTCTCCTCCCCACACGCATGCTCCGCTTGGGGGCCCTGGCACCCCCCACAGACCGGAGGGAGGCACACAGCACACAGCATGGGATGGGCTCTGGGGAGACCTCCCGCTACACTCTCTCCCGGAGCCGGGGGCCCCACAAAGGCCCCAGGGTGTGGGCTGTGGCCCTGCAGCTGCCTCTCCGCCCCCAGGTCCTCTGCCCAGGCAAGCGCTCGGGGGGGGGGCAGGACCGACCTCCTCGGAGATGTCCCACGTCAAACGCTGCGGCGGAGGCAGGTCCGGGTTAGGAATGCCGTGGCAGTGCCCGTCGCTGCAGTACCCCAGGCTGAACCGGTCTGTGGCCAGCATGAACTGGGAGAAAGACCAGGCGAGAGGTGAGTGGAGAGCCCGTGCCGCCCGCCTCCCCAGCGCGCCAATGGGCGCGGCCTGCAGCTCACCTCCCAGAGGTGCCCGATGATGGGGGCGTCCGCCCACGAGTGCTCGGCGTTGGCGCCCAGCTTGCCGTTGCGGTACACCACCAGGCTGAAGGACTTGTCGAACCACCTGCGGGAGAGGGCTGCCCACGTCAGCGCGGCCCGGGAAGGCCCCCAGGCCAGGGGTTCCGGGCAAGCCAGGCCAGGGGCCAGAAGGCTTGCCCCCAGGGGACGTGGGAAGGGAAGGGAAGGGAAGGGAAGGGAAGGGAAGGGAAGGGAAGGGAAGGGAAGGGGGTGCTCCTCCAAGCAAGCTCAGCCGGGGCGGGTCCATGCTCACGTGGGGGCTGGGCAGCCCCAAGAGGGCTCGAGGCCGCCACGGACACCTCTCTGGGACGCGCACGGGACTCCCTGGCTGCCCCGGGGTGGATCCCAAAGGAGCCTCCACCCACAGGCCGCCTGGCCGCACAGCCCACCTGCCCCAGCGGGGGCCCGGAGGCGGCGTGGCGTGGCATGGGGAGGGCGCCGGCACAGCCTCACCTGTCGTAGCACTGCCCGTGCAGCAGGCTCTTGGCGTAGGTGCTCAGGCTGTCCTCCCGCTCCGGGTCGAAGCCCTGCGCTTCCTCGTCCAGCGTCAGGAAGAAGGCGGCCCGGTCGATGCAGTCCAGCGCAGCCTTGTTCCTGCCTCGGCTGAAGTGCGCCGCACGGGCCTCGGCCCACGGACACCTGCGGGGCAGGGCAGAGTGCAGGAGCGCGGGTGGGCGGGCGGGTGGGCGGGGGGAGGCCCAAGGCACATGGACCGGGGGCTTCTCCACGCAGAGAGACATGCCGGCCGCCAGCCCAGCCGCTCCTTCCCCTCTGCCCTCACGTGCTGTGACTTCCACGGGCGCTCGGCAGCCGTGTTGTGTTTTGCTACCGAAACTGGGTTGCTTCTGGCTGGAGAGCAAGGCGCAGATTCCTGTCGGCGGCCCATCCATCCTGTCCCCCCGCAGGCTGGGCCCCCCGCCGCCGCCCAGCGAGATCCCAGGCAGGGAGGGAAGAGAGCCCCCCCGAGCCGGCTGGCCATGCGCGGCCTGGGCCACGGGGCCGCCCTTCCTGCCGCCCGTGCCCGCCGCCAGCCCACTGCCTCGGGTACCTCTCCCCAGCGGTGAGGGCGGCCAGCTTCAGCTCGCCGGGGGCCGGAGGCGACGGGTCATCCAGGATTCGCTGGAACTGCATCTCCAGCTCGCGGGGCGTGAGGTGCCTCCCCGCGTGGTACAGCCACACCTTGTAGAAGCGGCCCTTGTGGTAGACAGCCAGGTGTCGGCTCTCCGACAGGTGAAGCAGGGTGTCTGCATCAGCAACAGAGAGAGAGAGAGCGGGGAGAGGAGGCGGCTGGCTCCCACACGGCCCGGGCCTCGGAGCGCCTTCCGCCCCTGGAAAGAGCCACGGGGAGCCCTGCACAACTTTGTAAAAAAGCCGTTCCAATGGAACCGGAGTTTTGACAGCTCGTTGCGCTTCAGGAAGTTGGCCTGGCTCACAGTCTTCCACCCACTCGAGCACCTACGCCCCTGGAGAAGCGTGGAGAAGCGGAAAACCCATCAAGAAACCTTTGGCATCTCATTATGGAGGTGGGAACCTGGTGGCCGGCTCTTTTACATGAATGAAGACCAGGCTTGGCTGGGCTCCTCTTGTCGAATGCCGGGAGGCACCAGAGTCGAAAATAGGGCTCCTGGCCCAGGAGGTGCCTGTCGCACCTTGACGACAGGTGCGCCCAGGAGGCTGCCCGGGCTAGGAGGGCCCTCCTGTCCCCGTGGACCGGCACGGGTGCCTGGAGGGGACTCGGAGGGAACTCATAGCACATGCAGGAATGTGAAGGGCTGTGCACAGCAGAGGGTCGCGACCTCTTCCCCCGGTGGTGGAGGGAAGGACCTGGTCCAGCACAGCCAAGCTCGAGGAACCGGGTTCCAGGTTGCATGCCAGGAAGAACGTACTTCCTGAGGGTTAGGACCCCAGGAGATGGAATGGGCTTCTGTGGGAGGTGGGGGGCATCAGTGAGAGGGTTCAAGGAAAGGCTGGGCAGCCACATGGTGGGGATTGCATGAGCGGAGCCGCCTGGAGCCGGGGGTCAGACTGGATGGCCCAGGAAGGCCCTTCTCACTCACTCTGTTTCTCTTTCCCAAGTCCAACTGCACTATTGCTTAAAAAGCAAAAAAGGAGCGTGGCTGGAGCCACGTCACCCGAGCGCAGTCACCGGCTGCTCGGAAGGGCGCTGAGGAGTCTAGCGTGTGGGGTTGCTCCACTGGGTAACGAGGTGCACGAGGCAGGGGTCCCGGGCCACACGGCCTCATGCCTCCTGCCCCCGGTGCCGCCCACCTGTCTCCTTGCCAGGGATGCGCGTCGTGTTGAACATCCGCTCCATCTGCTGGGAGCACATGGGCACGATCCCAAGCGCCATCACCTAGTGGCAAAGGGGGGCGGTCAGCCGGGGCCTCCCACGAATTCCAAGACGGCGACGGCCAGGCAGGAGCCGGGGGGAGCTGCTGGTGGCTGGGCCCACCTCCCTCCGGCATGGTGCCCCTCCAGCCCCCCACCAAAAGCTCGAGGGGCGCACTGCGAAGGGGGAGAGGGGATCTCCTCTCCCTGGGTGGGGGCACCCCGAGCAGAGCTTTCCTCACCCCTCGGTCGATCCCTTCAGCAGCTTCTCCACACCGCACGTGGTGCAACAGCCCCTTGCCGGGCCGCTGATCCCGCGGGTGCCGCAGAGCGAGGGGGCCGCTGGTGTGGAGAAGTGAGCCCCGCAAGGGGTCCCATGGCTCGTCCGGCCCCCTGAACCCGCAGCCGGAGCAACCCACGAGTCGCCCCAAAAGCGACTGCAGGTCACGAGAGGTTTGCGAAGTATCCGTAACGGCGGCAAGAGGCACCTCAGCACCGGAGGCCAATGAACCCACAGTGGGTCTCTGCGCGGCATTTCAGGGGGCTGGAGGGGGTGCCGTGGGGGGGGCACATTTGCAGCCCAGCCGCGTGCACCAGAATCCGCATCCAGCAAAACAAGCGACTCGTGAAAAATCCCAGCGCTACATTGAACAGTGACTCCACTGCAAAGCCGGAAGGAAGGAAGGAAGGCAAGGAAGGCACCACCCGGCCGGCGTGCCGAGAGCGAGGCTGCTCGGGGGCTCCGGGGGCTTTGGGAGCAGATGGGGGGGCGTGGCAGCCCCTCTGCTCACGAAGTGGTCCCTGACAGGGGCGTCCACCAGGCCTCCCTGCCCACAGGAGCTGCGTCTCCAGCACCCGCCACCTCTCGCCTCCGAGCCCCAGGTGCGCGCCTCAGCCCGGGGGAGCCCCCGGCCGGCCCCACAGAGCCGCCCCTGCAGCCCCAGCCCCCCCCTCGCCTGGCCCCTGGCGGAGGGGGCCCCGGGGAGGCCCTGGCTGCTGCCCCACCTCCCGCGCCCCCCCCGTGCCACTCACGGGCGCCAGCTCCTCGCGGTCCAGCCGGCGGCGGTAGAGCAGGATGGCGTGGACGACGTTGCCCGCCCGGGCGGCCTGGAGCGGCGTGGGGGTGGCATACAGGAAGTCCTGCCGGAGAGAGCAAGGGCGCCCAGTCACGCAGGCGCCCCCCGCGCTTCCCCAGCACCACCGGCCCAGAGTGGTTCCGCGGCCGGTCGGGCTCTGCCCACTGGACCCCACTGCCGACCATAGAGGCGTAGCACAGCCCCCCCCCCGGCCACTCACCATGACGTAGTAGTTGCTGTTGACCATGATGGGGGCCCGGCTCCGGAGGTACACGTACTCCTCCCACCAGTCGCTCACCTGCCGAGCAAGCACACCCCTCCGTGGGGCCAGGCTGAGCGGGGGGGGGGGGGGGCGCCGGCGCCGTGGGGGGCGGCACCGGCCCTCAGGACCCAGCTCCACCACAGGGGCAGGGCTGCCTTTGCGCTGGCGGGGTGGGGGGCAGGGCGGGGGGCACCCCCAGGGCCGGGGCAGGCGGGCCGGGGGCGCGACGGGCCCAGCCAGGGCACTCACGTAGTTGGTAGCCCACCAGGACTTGAGGACGAGGTACTTCTGGAGCCGCGGGGCCAGCTGCTGCTGGAAGTCCAGGGCCAGCGCCTCCATGCGGGCGTAGCTTGCGTCGTCCATCAGGGGCCGGACCGAGGCGAGGTACTGCGGGCAGAGGAAGCCCCTGAGCATCCGGGGGGGGGCTCCCCAGGGCCCGGGGGGCACTTGCACGAGCCCCTGTGCTCGTGACCAGTGGCAAGGCTGCAGGAAGCCCCCGGCCCGGGAGCGGCACTGCAGCCGGCCCTGCCGGGGGACCCTCCCGCATTCACAGCCACGGGGAGCGCGGGGGAGGCTGCTGGCGGCCTGGGGGTGGCCGAGGGGCGGCCCCCGTACTGCCCCAGCGCTCCCCGGAGGGGGGTTCCCGGTTCCCAATTTCTGGCAAGGGCTGCGAAGGCACTGGATCGGGCGGCAGCTGCCCGTCTTCCTGCAGGCGTGTGGCGCCCCCCCAGGAGGCCACGCCTCACAGGCCAATCTGGAGCAACTGCCCCCCGCCCGATTCCGCCCTGGCAGCCCCCCACCCATGCTAGGCCCCGCGTCTGCCATGAACTCAGCCGGACGGACAGGTGGATGGACAGATGGACGGGAGCAGCAGGCCGTGGCCTCACGGGCGAGAGACCGCCCGGGGGGAGGGGCGCTGGCTGCTGCAGACTCTCCTTGGTGCACCAGGCCGAAGGCCGGCGACCGGCTGGGGCAGCATCGTGACCACCCCCCCGTGCGTGGACTGTGAAGGGGGGCTGCCCCCGAACATGCAGCCGTGGCCGCAGGCGAAGGCGGTCCCGCTGCCCCTCCGTGAGGCCGGCCCAGCGGTTCTGATGCCTGCACGATACCGGCGCCCCCCCCCCCCCGGCCTCTCAGACCCAACCCGCTCCCACTCGGAGGGGCGGGGGCGCCTGCCATGGCCTCTGCACGCAGTGCTGACCCCTCCACGGCGGGGGGGGGGGGGGGGGGGGAGGAAGTGCGGCTCGCCCCCCTTGGTCCGGTCCAGCGTGGCGGGGCTTGTGCCCTCGCGCTCTGCCCCCGCCAAGACCCTGGAAGGGGGCCGGCAGGGCATGTACCCGGGAGCTGCGGCTGCCTGGCGCGCATGGCAGGGCCGCCCCCTCCGACCCCCCCCTTCAGCGCCGCTGCCCTCGCCCCTACCCGCCGGATGGTGTCGTCCACGTGGGGCACGGGCAGCTTGGGCAGGGAGGTCTGGAAGCTGTAGAGCAGCGGGTGGCGGCCGGACATCACTTTCACCATGGCCTGCAACGAGACGGGGGGCATGGGGGGCGGCCCCTGGGCTCACTTGTGGGGAGCCGCTTGGCCTGGCCGTTATTCCCCTGCCTCCCGCAAGGAAGGCTCCCAGGGAAGGCGTGCCAACGCGGCACGGGCAGAGCGGGGCGGGGGCAGCGCCCAGCCAGCAGCGGCTCCCCAGGCGTGGGTGCCCGCAGGCGGCAAGGAAACGCAGAAACAGAGAAGCAGAGCGAGTCCAAGGGGCCTCCCGGGCCACCTAGTCTGACCCCTGGCACCAGCCGGCTCCGCTCACGACACGCCCGCCACGTGCACGTCCGGCCCGGCCCTGGACGCACCACCCAGATCCTGGTGCTGTAGCTGGTCTTGCCGTGGGGCTCGAACATCCAGCCGTGGTAGGAGAGCAGCAGCTTGAGCGACTTGCGGCACAGGAAGATCCCGGAGATCCAGACGCCGGTGGAGAAGAGGACCGCGCTCAGCAGGTTTTGGCTGCGGAGGCTCAGGCAGCTGCAGCTGCGGGAGAGCGGGAGGAGGGCTGCAGCGGTGGCCTCGGCATGAGGCCCCTGGGGGCCTACACCAGCCCCCAAGGGGCCCAGCAGCCCTCCAGGGGCTTGTCCTGCCCCTGCCAAAAGGCTTTGGACGGGAGGGTGTCCCCCCTGCAGCAAGACGGCCTCTTCGCACAGCAGAGTCAAGCCAGAGAATTTGCTGCCCCCGGACACTGCGCCCGTCCGGGTGGCTTTTGGGGGAAGAGAAGGTCCGGGTGAGGGAGCCCAGCTCCGGGAAGGAAGGGTGCTGCGGGTGGCACTTACCTGGCGGGCAGGTGTCTCCGGATGCTGCAGATCAGCCCCATGGACACATCAACATGGAGGTGCATGGATCCCACCGTTGCTATGACGATGGCCAGCCAGCCTGAAGGTGTGCCAGGAAACACACCGGTCAGGATATTGTTCTGTGGGAAGCGGCTATGTCAGAATGGGGTGGGGCGAATGGGGCAGTGGGGGGCATGGGACCGGCTCCAGCGGGACCACCTTACACCCCTTTCCCGTGGCCAGCCTCTCCCTCCTCCTCCCACCCAGCCCACCGAGGCCTGGCCGCTTGGGTCCTTTGTTGCCAACGGCCCCAAGATAGGCCAGGAGGGCCACAGCGCAGGGCCAGCGCACGAGCCCCACACGGCCCCCAGAGCACCTCCGTCGGGGGAGCATGGCCAGGCCTGGGGCCGCACGGGGCAGCGAGTGGGGAGCATCCCCGCTCAGGGAGTGGCCCCCGGGGGGCATCCCAGGGGGTGCAGGGCCACTCTCTGGCCTCGCCAGTTTGGGGGGGCACTGCAGGGAGAGCAGATGCGGGGAGGTTCCATTGGCGTCCATCCGCTTTCCAAGAAGAGCTGAGCCAGCCTCCTCAAAATGAAATTCCCATGCGTGATGCGAAGGCCTGGGGACCTTCCATGGTGGGGGGGGGGGGGGGGGGGAAACACCCACTGGAGCCCAGCAAAGGCTTCCCGCAAAAGCTCACTGCAACGGCTTGTCCCATGGGCTCCCTCAGAGCCGTGGCTGAGAAGTTCCTGCGCACGCACGGCCCCCTGTGTCCCCCACAGGGACGAGCGCCCTCAAGGGGGGGGCAGAGTGCCACCCAGGGCCCCACCCAGCTCACCTTGAGGCGGGCAAAGCGCTTCTTCCAGGCGGAGACGCTCAGCAGGTAGAGGTGCTTGAGGGCTTCGCGGCTCAGCCGGAAATCCACGCCCTCGGGAGTGACGGTGAACTGGAACGCGACGGCCTGGTGCGCTTCCGCCATCTTGGCGGGTCTGCTGGCCGCTGCAAGGGGCAGGAGGGGAGGACTGAGCGCCCCGTGCCAGGACACAGCGAGGTCCAGCGCCAGCCCAGTCCACCTCTCCGCAAACGAGCGAGCGTCAGTGGGGCACCCCCCTCCTCCAGGAGATCCCCACTCTCAGAGGGAGATCACGGCCTGAAGCCAGAGGCCAGCCGACTCCCAGGCAAAGGCCAAGCCACTGGGAAGGGACAGGAGCCAGGCGCCCCAGTCAGGCAGTGGGTGGGCTCAGGATGGCCGTGCAAACCAGACCCCGGCTGGGCTCTGCCAGGCAACCGCCGTGTGTCGGGAACCCCACCTCCCCTCGGCCCCCCAGCAAAGCCCAGGATCACGGCGGCTGCTGTCCAACCATCTGGAGGGGCCACTTGCTCTTGTCCCAGGGCCTAGGTGGGGTCCCCCTGGGGGCCACTCACAGGAATGGCAGGGGCTTGGTTCACCTTGGCCAGCAAGGCAACTGGGAGGTCCCACGGCACCGCTTGGCGGGCAGGGGGCACCCGGCCGGAGTGGGGAGGCCTCCCCTTTGCGCCTCCCCCCTCACCGGTTGAGGTGGCAGATTGGGAACCCAAACGGGACGCCGTGCTGGGCTCGGGCCCTGCCTTTGCAGCCTCCCCTCTGGGGAGAAGCCCCGCTGGGGCGTAGGGGCGCCACGCTGAGACCGGGGGGTGGCCCGGGAGCTGCGCTGGGGTCTGTGGCCGAGACACGCCGCGGGGGGGGGGCACGCGTGGCGAGGGCGACGCGACGCTGCGCGCCTGCAGGCCGCCTGAGGCAGCGGGAGCGGCTCTCCCCAGGCGCCTCCAACTGCCGTGGAATGGCGCGCCCTCGGCGCCCCTTAAAGGGGCGGCTGCCGGCAGCGGGGCGGGGAGCGAGGGAAGCCCCGCAGAGCTCCCCCGCGGGACCTCGCGCTGCCCACCACCGCCAGAACCGCCGTGCCCACGGCAGGGGGCGGGCGGAGGGCTCCCCGCGCGGCTCTTTCGTGCCCTCCCTGCGAAAAGGCAGGCCGGCCCCCGCGCGGGTCGCGCTGCCCTCCTCCCGCGGGCTGCGGAGGGGGCTGGAGCATTTCGTCTCAGGTCTGCTCGAAGTCCAAGCCACGCTCGGGCCAGGTGCCAGAGGCCTCCCGAGCCGCCCGAAGAGCGCCAGGTGCGCTCGTGTTGACCCTCAAACGGCCCGAGTGGCTCCCCTCCCATACACACACGCACCCGCTCCCCCGCGCAGCCTTGCTCTCCCCCGGCGCTTTGTTTAGCGCAGGGCACAAGCGAGGAAATAAACCCACGCACGCCACAGTCCCTCCGGCAGCCGGCTCCGCACGGGCCGGGAAATCCGGCGCACCCGCAGGGCCCGCCGCTCGCCAGTCAGCGCGGGCAGGGGCCCGGCCCTCGGGGCGCCTGGCGTGGGGTCTCCCTCAGCAACCGGCTTTGCTCCCAGGCCCGGTGGGGAGGAGAAGCGGGCGGGATGATCCCCCACGAGCCCTGTTCCCGGCACTGCCCTGACCCACGGACGGCGGCACCCGCACCTCCGAGGCGCTCCCCGCGCCACCGCCTCCCGCCCCGCTGCCGAGGCGGCGCGGGCGCTTGGCTCGGGTGCCGGTTTCCGTCACGTGGAGCTGGGCAGGCCAGGCGGGAGCCGCCACGCAGCCGCTGCGCCTGCCTCACGGCCGCGGGCCGGCCGGCGTCAGGCGCACCTTGCGGCGGCGGCGGCGGGCGGGGAGAGGGGCGGGGAGAGGGGCGGCCCGCCCGCCGCCCGGCGAGCCCCGCGGGAGGCCACTGCCGGGGCCGCGGCGGGCGGGGACTCCGGGAGCGGGAGGGCAGGGGAGCCGGGCAGGCGTGCGCGGCGACTTTCCTCCCGGCGCCGGCGGTCGCGCACCCGGGACAGGCGGTGCCGGCGAACTGCGCGCCTGCCGAGGCCGCGACCCGCACCCGCTTCTGATCCCGAAAACGGGACGGGCCGCCCCCGCCGAGGCACCGGCGCGCGCCTGCGCCGCCACGAGCCCAGCGGGGAGGGCCCAAAGGACGCCCGTGCGTGGCCGCCTCCTGCCCTGCCCCGCCTCGCCCGCAGGTGCAAGGCAGGGTCCCACGGAATCCGAAAAAAAAAGCAGAATGCCGCGGAACCCGTGGCGTGTCCTCTCCCCGTCAGGCTGCGGCCGGCCCATGAACCGCCCCGGGGCGCGACGCTACGCCGGTCCACGCAGGCAACCGCCCCCCCTCGCGGGGCAGCGACGAACCGAGCGGGCTCAGGGCGCGCGGCCTGCGGGGCTCCGGAACGGGGTGCGGGGCAGCGGCGCTCCGCTCCTGCGCGCCGAGTCTGCGGGGCCGACTGGGCTAGAACGGCCTCGCCTGCCGCACCAGCCCCCCGCGCCCCCCGGCTTCGCGAGGAGGCCACGCGCAGCTCGCCGTGTTGACAAGCGACACGGAGCCCGACTCGCGCGTGGGGGGGGGGGCGGCCGCAAGCTCGCTGGACCGCGGCGTCGCTCGGCTGGGAAGTCACCTCTGGAACGGGGGCGGTGCTCACGCAGCGGCACTCACGGGCACTCTGCACTGGCTCAGGGGCGGCGCCTGAGCCCCGCAGAACGCCTTCGGGCTAATCCACGACTCCGATCCAAGCGGTGGGACCCGCGGCTGCCCCATGGGCCAGTGGAAGGACCCCCGCCCGCCGCGCCGCGCCGCCCAGAGGCCGGAGGCAGCGCTGCGGGCGGTCGAGGAGGTCGCCCCGGCGGCTACGGCAGTCGCCCCCCCGCGAAGCGACGCCCCCGCACGGTACCTGCTCGACAGGGGGAGGGACGCGGCGCGCCTCAGTCCGGCAGCGGGAGCTGCGCCTCTTCGTCCCCGGCTGGCCGGCCGGCTGGCTCGCTTGCTCACTCGCTCCGGGATTCCTGCGTGGCTGTAATCGGACACCCGGCTGAAGGGGGCGGCGGCCACTGGGGCTGCCCTCCTGGGAGGGAGGGGCAGCGGGCGGTGCCCCCTCCCCGCCGGTCGAGTGGTTTGCGCCCGTGGTGGGAGTGAAGGTGGGGTGGCAGAGAGAAGCCCCCTCTTCCGGAGCCCCCCGTGTTACCCGTGCCTGGCAGAATGAGCACCGAGGATGCCCTCTGGCCCAGCTCCGGGTGGTCTTCTGCCCCCCCCCCTCGGATCCACCCAAAATCCAGTGGCGCCTGGACAGTCCCATTGAGTCCCGGGGAGCAGGGCCTGCAAGGGGGCTGGACAGACCCCGCCCACAAACGCACCGGATGGCCCCAAAGCTGGGTGGTCCCTGGCCCCTGAGCTCGAACCCCACCACTGAGGGCGGAGGTGGCCTGCGGGCGCTGTTCGTCCGAGCAGAGCAGGTGCAGGGAAGGAAGGGCCGGATAGGCCCCTGGAGGCGCTGAGCCCTGCCCCCGGTGCTGGGTTCCCGCAGGCGGAGGGCTCTTCCAGGGGGACAGCACTGCTGCAGTGAGGTGAGAAGAGGCACCTCCTGCCTTGCGCAAATGGCCCTTCTCACATGCCCAGAGGCACCCTGAGGCAGCAGCAGACCACCATGGCGGCAGCCCAGAGTTCCCTGGGGTTGTTGGCTGCAGGGGCCCCTGCACCCCCAGGGTCCTCCAGGGGGTTCTCTGCAGCCCCCCGGGCTGTGCCTCCCTTGAGCCCGCAGTGCCAGCCCAGGCCTCCCAGAAGGCAGCTGTGCCCGCGACCGGCTCTGCATGGGCTGCCCCTGGCTGCTCCCGCCACCGCGGCCCTTGCCGCCGGAAGGGCATCTGGAGGAGACCCCGGGCACCCTGAGTGCCTGGCGGAGCCGCTTCTCCAGCGCCGCTGGGCTGCAGGGCCTGGGCCGGGCCTGCCTGCCTGCGGGAGACACAGAGCGCTGCCGGGCAGCGGGCGCCGTCCAGTCCCACAGGGCACGGGGAGCCGAGCCGCCCCAGGAGGAAGGAGGCGGGCCGGCCCACGTCGCCTTCCAGGCAAAGCCGGGCCCCCTGAGCCCTGGGCTGCCCCTCCCTGAGGGCAGGGTCTCCGTACCAGCCTCCGCCAGGCTCTCGGCCGTTTCCCACGTGGGCACTATCCTGGCACAGACTCGGCAGAGCGGCGGCCCCACCCAGCCCCCGTGGCCGGGAGCCACGCTGCCTGGCTGGGATGGTGGCCGCCTGCCACCCCAGGCACCCTCAGCGGTAGGTGGGGGGAGCGTCTCTCCCCACCCCCCGAAAGAGGCCATGGCGAAGCCGGTCCGGAAGGAATCCTCCCTGGACCGGGAGCAAGTGCCCCTTTCTCGGGGGGGGGCAACCCTCTCCAGCCGCTCTTGGGACGGCCGGACGGCCTGCATCCATTTCAGACCAGGGTCCAGCCCATGGGAAGCCCTGTGCTGTGTGGGTGGGGGGGGGGGGGGGGGGGGGGCTGTTGATACTCTTGGGCGTCTTGGTGGGCCTTGACAGCATCAGCCATGCGGGCTTCCGTGGCAACTCTCTGGGCTGCGAGGGGAGGGCGGCGCATCGCATCACAGCCGCTCTGCCCCAGTTGGAAGGCCAGCTGCAGGACGGCTGCCCAGCCCCTTGGATTCTCCTGCATGGGATCCCACGGGGGTCTCTTTGCCCCCATGCTATTTAATGAAACTGGTGAGTGGGGTCATCTGCACCCCTACCTGGACGGGAATAACCTGGTACCCGGGGTCTACGCTCTGGTAATTGCTGAGCTGGATTACCGCGTTGCACGCTGCATGGGGCTGCCCTTGAAGGTGGCTCCAGGGCCGCAGCTGGCGCCGAGTGACAGGCAGAATAACCCGGATCCATGGGCCTGAATGCTCTGGCCCACTGCCTGTATGTCGCCAGGTGCAAGTCAAGGTGCTTTAACCAAGAAAGCCTCGCATGGCTCGGACCACGACGCCCGCTGAGCGCTACTCCCGAGCACGTTCCACTCGGACGCGGGCTTGGCCACTGGGCCTTTCTCCTGGGGAAGCTTGAAGGGTGGCCACAAGGGGGGGGGTCTTCCAACGATGGAGCACCCCCCCCCGTGGCCCGGCTGGCGCCGTCCTTGCTGTCCTTGCCATCTTATCGGCCCCAGGTTAAGACAGGGCTTTTGCCAAGACTTAAAAGGGTTTACCTGGCTACCCAGGGGGCTGAGGGAACTCCCCCTCCCAGGCCCCCTTGTGTCAACAAGGCCTTTCTTTGCTATGTGCTTCAGCTGGTAACGTTCTTTGTTGCTTCTTTGATTTTATGGTATTTTATTTTCTTGTTTTCGGGAATGGTTGTAAACTACACAGAACGTATACCCACCCACCGTATAAAAATTGAGATGGTAACAATCCTGCTATCACCCCTCCCTCCGCCCCAGCTTGCCATTTGGGAGAACGCCTGTCTCTGCATGTGCGTTCACTCAAAATGGCTTTGCCTTCCCTCTCCATACCTGTACAGGTGACATTACCTTACTTCACCTTTGCAGAAGGCTTGGGGGCAGGCAGGGCAGCGAGTGGCGCCCTGGCTACTGAGTGGCAGGAAGGCAGGAGCTGCTCCCGACGGAACTGCAGGGAGACTTTGACGAGCCCCTTGGCAGTGTGTGTGTGTGTGTGTGTGTGTGTGTGAGACACTGGCCCACCTTACAGGGTTGTTGTGTAGATACTGAGGTCCTGTATCATGCACTCCAATTCAGCCTGGTCAAGGAAGGGGGTTCTCCTCGTGTCACTAGGGCTGCTGCTGGCAACCCCACTCCCGTTCTGGGGGTGGCTACCGCTTTGCCAGCAGACAGCTCTTGGGGGAGCACCCCCTCCCCTGGTACCAGCAGCCTGACTGCTTGATTACGGATGCCACACCGAACTCTGGCCCTCCTGCCTGCAGTTTCCGCACAGCCTTCCCAGCCTGGTGCCCCCAGACGTCGCTTACCCAAACGTACCTGGAAGAGGCAGCGGAAGGATGGGGGACGCAGGCTGCCCCCTCCGTGCCTGTGAAAGCTGGAGAGCGAAGGAAGGGAATGGCCACCCAGGCTGAGCCGGTAAGAGCTGCACCACAGAAGAGTGGGCTGCAGCGAGGTGGGGAGGCCGGCTGTGGCCCCCGAAGTAGTCCAGCCAGGGCACAGTCCCAGGCATCCTTCCGCTGAGCCAAGCTCCAGGGCTCCCAGCGGTCCTGCCAGCTTTCAGGGCCACCCACACAGGCACTGGACTCAAAGAAGCAGGTGAAAGCGGGACCGGCAGCCCTTCATGACTGAAGATGTTTGGGGGTGCCATTCTTGCAAACAGCTTAATACAAGAACATCTCTGGGGATCGGATGCCACACAGGTCTAGAAAGAGAAAGATTTCTGCAGCTCCACCTCGCTCCATCCAACCGTGCTGGGTGCTGTAGGACCCTTCTCTAAGCGGTGGTGGGCTGTGTTAGAGATGTCTTCACCAAGAATGCTATTAAAATGTAAAACTGCATACCTAATATCACATAATAAATGGTTAACACTTTTCGATCAACTGTTTATTGCACATTGAAACCAGCGTGGCAGTCAATCAGCAGGGGTGAGGCCGGTCCCTCTTGCAAAAGCAGGGAGAGAGGACACAAGGTCACTCCGTGCGTGCGGAGCAAGCGCTCACGTGCCTGCGGTGGGGCTCGCTGCTCCCGTGACACGGCCCACCACCGGGAACGGCATGCGGGAGGCACCTGCTTCCTCTCACAGGGAACCCGGGCAGCTCCCCAGGGTCTCCTCCGGGCGTCCTGCTCAGAACAACTACCCTGTGGGGAAGGTCGGGCGAGAGCCCGTTTGGGGCCCAAAGTCCCGCGAGCTGCAGGGCCCAGTGGAGCCCCGGTCCAGCACTCCCCCCCCCCGCACAGTGGCGCTCTGCCATGCTCCCTGGAAAAGCACGCTGAGGGGGGCCACTGCCCCCCAACCAGAGGCGGGGGTCTTGCACGCAAGGCCCGGCAAGGCCCCTTCAGGGAAGGCGGAGCGCGGCGCCCCGCTCCGCTCACGGCGCGGGGCAGGGCAGAGCAGTCGGCTTTGGAGGCGCCGGAAAAGCGCGAGCGCGGCAGAGCGGCCCGGGAGCAGCCGCGCCGTGCGCGCCGTGCGTGTGCCGGGCGGCCCCGAGCGAGCGGGCGGGAGGGAAGGGGGTGCGAGGGCGGCGCGGCAGCTGTCGCGCACGCTCGGCCGCTGCTATTCATAGGCAGAGGAATCTGGGTGAGAGGGCGCGCGGAAGGGGGGCCGGGCCGGGGGGGCGGGGCGGGCAGGCGGTGGCGCGCCCTCCCCTTCGCTCTCGCCGCCCGCTGCTCCCGCATCGGCTCGGCCGGCACGACGCGCGCCACTGCGCCAGTCAAGGCGCAAGCGGACGGAGAGCCCCGGCGGCTTTCCACGGAGCGAGGGGCGCCAGGCGGGCGCGCGGGCCTGGCCCGAGGGGGGTGTCTCTGGCCGCCCCCCGCCTGCTTTGGGATCGCACTTGGGCCCGAGGGGGGTGTCTCTGGCCGCCCCCCGCCTGCTCTGGGATCGCACTTGGGCGCGTCGACTGGAAACGCCGCCGCCGCTCTGCGCGCGTTGCGCACCGGGCCACGCGATCCTGCCGGCAGGGCGGCGGCCACGGGCCTCGGCTCAGCCGGCGTCGGACTGCAAGGCCCCGGCGCGCCCCGGGCTGCGGCCCTCGGGGGCGCCGGGGAAGTGGAGGATGCAGAAGGCCTCGTAGGAGAGCGGGAAGGGCGGCGGCGGCAGCTCCCGGCAGCGCGGGCCGCCCAGCTCCAGCTGCAGGACGGCGCCGCGGTCCGGCGAGGCCACGTAGAGCAGGCCGTCGCGCGCCACGCCCTGCCCCGCCGCGCCGCGCCCGGGCAGCTCCCGCGCCGCGCCCCACCGCCGGGCGCCCGGGCTGAAGGCGGCCACCACGGTCCCGCGCGCGCCGCTGCCCACCACGTACAGCGGCTCCGCCCCGCCCAGGAAGCAGAGCGCGGGCAGGTCGGCGTCGGCGCGCGCCAGGCTCGGGCGCAGCTCCTGCCACGTGTCTGCAAGGGAAGCGGGGGGGGGGAGAGGAGGAGGAGGGAGAGGAGAGGAGAGCGCCGCGTGAGAGCGCCGCCGCCCGTGGCCCGCACCCCGCGCCGCCGCCTCGAGCAGGCGGACGGGCGCCCCGCCCCGCCCCGCCGGGCAGCCGATCCCCGCAGCGGGGAATCGCCTCTCTGAATCGGTTCCAAATTCGGTGGCTTCCCTAGAGCCCGCCCCCCCGCGCCTTGCCCGCGCCCGCCGCAACCGCCACGCGAAGTGGACCGCTCAGCTCAGCTCAGCGAGCAGCTGCACCATCTTGATGCTGAGAAGCATCCGGGCAGGAAAGAGCGCACGGCAACTGAGGCGCCTTGAGGGCGCGTAGCTGCTAAGCGGAGCCGCCCTTCGGGATCGCGGGCGGGCAGCCGCCCGGGGGCCTGTCCCAAAATTTAGGAAAGCGTTCCTCAGGCAAGGGTGCGTGTACCAGCCTCGGCCTCCCGGGTGGGAGATGGAGAAGGAACAGGGTGTCCCCTGGGGCTGGTGGAGCCCCCGGGGCTGCGGCCTTCACGGTGAACCCCCAAGTGCTCCGGGGAGGGCCGATGAGCAACACAGAACCTGCTGCAGCCACAGAAAGTGGGAAGCTTTTGGGCAGCTGCGATAAATCTACTCAAATTGAGATTAATGGGCATTAATGAATTGTAATAATTTAATCTAACTCTATGTTTGGAGTTTTGTTTCACTTGTGGAGTTTACTACATTTTACGCCTCTGCGCATTTTAATTACTCATGTTGCATTTTAGCCTATTGTATTAATATTCTACTGGGGCTGGTGGGAATTGCTGGCAAACTGCCCATGTGCAGACGGCCCAACTTTACCGGACGCTGCACTGAGCCTCGTGCCCTTCGAGCCCCCCCCCCCCCTGTTTCCTTCAGGGCATTTCCCAGGGACTGGGCGCGGGACCAGACCGCGCCAGGTACGGGGGCTTTCTGGGGATGCCGAGCCCGGAAGCCTGCAGGCCCCCCCTCCTCACCAGTGGCCACGCAGTAGTGCAGCAGGAGCTTCTCGCCGGTGTGCCGCAGGCTGCCCAGGGCGTAGATGGAGCCGGCGTGGGCCATGCAGAGCGGCAGGCTGTGGGCCAGGGAGATGGTGAACGAGGTGCCGCCCAGCGGCAGGGGGGAGACGAAGGTCCAGCGGTCCGCCCAGGGGTCGTAGCGCTCCACCGCCCTGTGCAGGCAGGTGCTGCTGTCCGGCGCCAGCAGCGAGTCCAGGTACCAGCCTCCGATGGCGAAGATGAACTGCCCGGACACGGCAGTGCTGAAGTGGCGCCGGCGCTGCGAGAGGAGGAGGAGGCGGTGGGGGTGGGACGCGGCGAGGAGGGCCGGGGTGCCCGGGCAGCAAGGGCCTCGGCTCAGAAGCACACCCGGGAGCTGGAGGCCGGGGCCCCGAGCGCCAACTGCACGCGTGACTTGGCTCACTTACCGAGGCAGGCACCGGGAACAGGTCCCTGTGCAGGGGCTTTTCAGCTGGGCCTAGGGGTGGGGCGGAGTGAGGGCGCCCCCCAGCACACCCCTTTCCCACAGCCACAGCCACCGCCCCCCACCCTCCCCTCCCCTCCCCGTCTCCAGCTAGCGGGGCTGGAGGTGGCTGCGCCTGCTGAAAGGCCTGGTTCACATGTGCAGGCACGCACCTGGAGGCAGGCGTGCGCTTGCACCGGAAAAGCCACCTGCAGCTCCGGCTCCGGCTCAGCCCAGGCCACAGAAGCCGCCCCAGCGCGAGAGGGGCGGCGGAGGGGTGCTGACCTTGCTGGGGGTGGCGGTGGCCTGCCACGCGTCTGTCAGGGGGTTGTAGCGGAAGGCCGCCATGCGGAAGGCAAAGCCGCGGGCCCCGTGTCTCTCTCGGTAGCCCCCCACGAGGAAGAGGTAGTTGAAGAGCTGCGCGGCGCTGAAGCTCCACTTGTCGGCCTGGAAGGGCAGGCGGGTGGCGCAGCGCCAGTCGCCTTCCTCGGGGGGCAGCGGGCGGCGGTACAGGCCCTGCAGAGGCCCCAGCGTGGCGCCCGGCTGCAGCTTGCTGACGTTCTCCGCGCGCAGCACGCAGAGCTGGGGCAGGCTTCCCAGGCGCAGGCGGGCCAGCTCCTCCCGCAGCGGCGGGGCCAGCCCGGCCGTGACGGGCTCCGCCAGCTCCAGCAGGTGGGCGCTCAGGTACCGGCACACCTCTGCCCGCAGCTCGGGGCAGCCCACGGCCTCCGCGGAGTGCAGGTACGCCAGGCAGTTCTGGGGGCCCAGCAGCGGCCGCAGCGCCAGCAGGCACCGGCTCAGGAACCTGGGCAGGAGCAGGTACCCGGCGGCCTGTATGGCCGGCAGCAGCTCTTCCTCCGCCAGCGCAAAGTGGCCAAAGAACACCCACTCTAGGATGGCCCGGAAGGTGGCCGAGGGGACGTGGCCCAAGTCCAGCCGTCTCTCCGACGTCTCCTGCATGCAGGATCTTGCGAGGGCCTCGAAGTAGCCGCTCTCTGTTGCCAGCGCGGCCAGGTCCACCTGCCAGGCATGGGGAGGGGGGAGAGGGCTGAGCAGCTGGGCTGGGAGACGAGTGGGAGCCCCGTGCCTCACGGCCGCACGGGCAAGCACCTTCGGCTGGCTCCGCTCTCGTGGGCACCGTCCAGGCGTCTTGCAGGTGCCAGGGGCAGCCTGGCCGGCTTGCCGCACTGAGCTGCCTCGGTGGCCCACTCGTGGTCTCTGGAGAGCCTGGCTCGCTCCCCCTGCCACGGCAGGGCCTGCGCCAGTTGGAGGAGAAAGCTGGCAGAGGCCACCCTGCTCCTCGGGAGCCTTCTGGGGCGGCCCGGATCCTGTTCTGACCCGGGGCTGCCGCGCCCATGGCTGCAGGGCTCTTGGCTCGTGCCACCATAGGGGCCAGCGCAGGAGGCTCCCACAGAGGTCTTGCAAAATTCCCGCCCCCCAGCGCCTGTCCCGGGGGCCGCCCCCAGTGCATACCTGGAAGCTGTGGGGGGCTGTGTGGACAGTGAGCAGCTCCGGATCGCCGCCTCCTCCCCGGTAGACCCTCAGGTCAGGGCGGCCCTCCCAGGGCTCTGGAAGAGGCCCCGGGGCCCGGGAGTGGGCCCGGGGAGGTGCGCCCTTGCAGAGGCCCAGCCACAGACGCCACACGGCGTGGGGGGCGCAGGCCAGCCAGCCCAGGGCACGCTCGGCGAGTCGGGCCAAGCCCAGCCAGGCTAGTGCAGCACACAGCCCCTCCAAGGGGACAGCGTACCACCCCCCACGGGGCATGGCTGGGGGAGGCCAGCCGGGGCCGTGGCAGAACTTCGGCCGCTGCGCGAGCGAGCGTGTCGGCCAGAGCATGGGGCCAGCTGAAGGCCAGGGCTATTTTTATCCTGCACTTGTGGCCGCCCCGGCCAGGGGCTGACCGTGGTCACGGAGGGCCGCAGGCTCGGGCCAGGGCCGGGCTGAGGGCACGAGCCAGGGCTGACCAGAGTTGGGGGTGATGCGCGGGGAGGGCCTCTGGGCACACTGGGTGGGTGGGGGCCCCACGCTGCACGTTCCCCTCGCTTGGAGTCTTCCCACTGCTGGTTCAGGCGTCCCAGTTGCAAAAGGCCGGCGTGGTTGCGGGGCGAAGGCTGCAGCGCTGGGCGTGCGCACGCCCGGCAGCCCAGTGCCCCGTAAACCGCAGGGCTGGCGTCATGTGGGAACGGGCCCAGCAAATGCGGGCAGAGGCCTCGACCCGTTGCAGCTTCGTGCAACAAGCCGTTGCCAGGCCAAGTCTTACCCCGTGCCCCAAACGTACTGCCACGTCTTGTAAGCGCCCTCGGCACGTATTTTCCGGCTACGGGAAGTACAAATGATTTTGGCTGTGGACAACATTCACAGCATGCAGAGCCTGCTAGGAAAATTCCTTGGCTTGCATCCTGGTGGGAATGGCGAGTGGCTGTTTCCCTTCACAGACGCGTTGCTTCTGATTACCCAGCTCCCTTCATCACTCGCTTTCTGGACCATATATAGGCTTTCTTTGCAGCCGGCTTTTAGCACCGGGTTAAAGACACTTGCAGCGGGGCGAATTGCACCGCGGTGGATGGTGTAACTTGGTGTCCCGCGCTGAGCAGGGGCTGCACCCGGGGGCCTTCTGGCCTCCTCCAGCTCTACCATTCCAGGGTTCTGTTAATGCAGGTCTTGTGTTCGGGAGACGCGAATCTACCACCCACCTCCGTTCTGGTTCGCTCATGTACAGGACTCTCCAGATAGCCTGCTGCTTCCTGGCTTGCTGACGATTATCCGATTCCCTTGTGTATTCTGCATCTTTTGCAAGTTCTTACGCATTGTCCTTACAGAGCATTTTCTGGCGTGCCTGGAACGTGAACCGCCAAACCCGGGCAGTTGGCCCTGTTCGTTTCTTGTGATATTGTTCTTCAGCTTCACTCCACCGTTTCCACTGGAATCGAAGGACAGCTGCGCGGGGAAAGCCGGAATGCCATTCGCCTGGGCTGATCTTGCCTACAGGGGGCAGCGCCCCCAGCAGCCCCCCCCCCGGCCTGCCGCCGCCAGATGTGTGGCCCGCAGCTCTGAGACTGATGGTGTTGTGGTTCAACACGTCTGGAGAGCGCCAGGTTGGAGAAGACTGGTGCTTGGGAAGGGGGGGGGGGGAGTGCCGCCACAGGTCACGTGGAAGCACGCGAGGATGAGCCGGAGGGGCGACCTCCGCCCCATTCGGTCTCAGACGCCATGGGCCTTGCCAAGACTGAGGCGGAGCCCCGCGAAGCCGGTCTGCCTTCTCCGGCAAGGCGCGCTCCGAGCCGCCCCCCCCCCGAAGCCGGGCCGCCGCTGGAGCGAGAGGCGGGCGCCGTCGGCCGCGGTGGGTGGAGGGAGGGCGCCCCCTGGCGGCCCCCAGCCTGCAGCCCCCCCCTGGCGGCCCCCAGCCTGCAGCCCCGCTCACGCCCCCGCGGGAAGCCCGGCCCCCCCCGCGCCGCCCCGCCGGCCGCGCTTCCTCCGCCGCAGGCTGGGACGCGGTGCCCAGGAAAGGCAGCCGCCCCGCTCCAGCCCCCGCGGGCGCGCCCGAGCAGCAGCCGAGTGAAGCCCCTGCCCGAGCCCCACGGCGGCCCCCGGTGACCGATCGGGAAGCAGGGAGCCGCCGGGCGGAAGGCGGGCCACCCCCGTGGGACCGCCAGCGGAACGGGGCGCTCCACCGCCTACCCGTTTTCCAGGTCCCCCAGCAGGCGGGGCACCGCCGAGTGCGCAGAACATCCCCGGGGAGGGCGGGGGGCTTGGGGGGGCGATTGCGGTTGGGCAGGAAGGGCTGGAAGGGACCGATCCAGCCGTTCCTCTCGAGCGATCCGGCCCGCCTTCGGCCGCGGGCGGGAAGGGAAAGGAGCGGCCCCCACAAGGCGGCGCGGGGCCCCCGGTGCGCTCGCCCTCTCGGCGGCGGCCGAGCCCGTCGACTTCTCTGCCGGGCCGGCTGGAAACTTCCCGAGCAAAGAGTAACGCAGCAGTGCCGCAAGACAGCGAAGGGCGTCTGGTGGCCCAGAGGGCCGGGTGTTTATTGGGGCTAGAAAGTTTATATCCCATTATTGATCAGGAACGGTAGAAAAAGTGGCCCGAGGACAGAGGGCGGGCAGGCACTGCAAGTGGTTCCGGGGCAGAGCCGCCCCCCGGATTGCCGGCCCCCTGCTGGACAGACTCGGCCTGGCAAAGCGAGCCGGCTCAGGCGGCTTCCTTCCGCACAACCCAGCGCGCAAGCCCGCCTCTTCCCCAGGAATGGTGCGAATGCTCCGGGCGCGCTGCCCCTCTCCCTCCCCACGACAGGAGGACACAGGATGTGGGCCAGCCCTTGGTCCGGGGCCCACGCGCGTGGTGCCAGGCGGCCCGGGCACTGCCCAGGGCAGGAGGGCCCCACAGGAGCCGCTCGACAGCCAGCTACCGGCCTCTTCCTCTGCCTCACCACGCTATCCGGAGCCTGCCGGGCTGCACCAGCTGTGGGGTGGCACCCTCCACGGGCAGGAAAGGGCGGCGTGGGGCCTTCCCATGCCCAGTGGGCCCCCAAGCTCCGCTCGGCTGCTCCCAAGTGTCGGCTGGCCCGGCCCGGCCCCCACGCGTCCCTCCAGGGCCATACGCTGGGGCAAGGAACGCCGCGGCCAGGCCACGGCAAGCGGCACACGCGACGGTGAGGGAATGCTCCCGGGCCGGGCCGGGCCGGCTCTCGCGCCGCAGCCCTTGGCTCCAGACGACGGCGTGCCACTCCCTTTCCCAGGCTGCCGCCCGAGGGCGTCACGTCAGGCGCGCCAGCCGAGACCAGGCACAGGAGGCGGTGGGGTGGAGGCGGCTGGACAGGGCGGCGCTTCGGGGCGCGCAGGGAAGGGTGGAATGTGGGCACATCTCCCGTCAGCCGGGGAAGGAATGTGTGGGCACGTGGCGAGGCGGCAGGCGGGGGCAGCAGGCCGGCGGAGGTGGCCGGGGCAGTCCCTCTGTCCAGCCCCGAAGGGCAGAGACCTCCTGTCCCCTGCGAGCCACCTGTCACCACCCCGTCCTCCGTCAAACGCCGAGGCGGAAATGCACCAGCATCCTTCCCGCTTCCGTGGCCCCGGCCTCATCCAGCCAGCCGCCGAAGGCAAGCGCTGCTTCGGAACGGGGCTGGGCCGGCCAGTCCCGCCGTCCTCGGGGAGCGTGGTCCAGCTGACGTCCGCCAAGGGCCTCGTCCTCCGGAGGCCGGCCGGCCCCGCTCACTCGCACAGCGCCTTCTGCTGGAAGTAGGCCTCGAGGCGGCACTGTGCGTACTCCTGGGCGGAGGGGAGAGCGACGTGAGGTCCTGCACCCCCCCACCCCGCCACGGGCCTCGCCACTGTGCGATCTGCATCCCGGGGGGTTTCTTCAGAATCGCCATGGTGGGCCAAGAAGCCAAATTCCCCGCAACGGGGCTGGGCCAAGCCCACGCTCTAGGAACCGCGGCAGATCGCACTAACTTGCTGCTTCCGCGCCCGCTGGCTGGAGATGTGCCATCGTACAAAGCCCCCCCCCCCCGGGACAGCTGGGAGGTGCCCTGCAGCCCCGTCTGCACCCCAGGCATAGTATGGCACCACCCGCATTCCCCTGGAAGCCTGGATCTTCCCTCCATCCAAAGCAGCGACCCTCCACTGGCCTGGTTTGTGGTAGCTCTGCAGACACGTCACTTCTCCAGACGGGTCTCGAAAGCAGGAGGGGAGCCCCTACCCTCGCTGAGCCACTCTGAGCATGTGAAGGGGCAGCCCCACAGCGGGCCACCCCTCCCCTTCTCAGCAGGCAGGCGAGGGTCCCCCCCCCCCCCAGCTGGCCCCCCCAACTCTACTCACCAGGTAGCCAAACTCAATGGTGGAGATCTTGGCCTGCAAGATGGACCACAAGCCCCAGAAGAAGTGGGAGGCCATGGTGAACCTGGGGGGATGGAGAGGCGGCTTTTCCTGCCTGGCCTTGGGGGAGCCAGGCGCTTTCCTTCCCCTCCGAGCGCAAGCAGCGCATGGCACAGCCCTCGTTCGCGGGGGGCAGGGGCAGTGCCAAGAGGACCCCGTGGAGCCCGGGCAGCCCTCTCCACCCCACTCGGGGGCAGTGCTCGGGGCAGAGGGCAGGGGACCCCAGGTGCAGCACACAAGGGGAGGAGCCCCAGGCAGGGCTGCTCCTCCAGCCCAGCACAGGGGCCGCTTGGCCCCCCAGCTCCCCGCAAGGCAAGGCTCTCGTCCTTGATTCCGCCCGAGCACCTTCCTTTCCCGGATGTGCCGACGCCACTCCGGGGGGCTTTTTGCTCAGCAGCACGACAGACCCATTCAGAGGAGCGGCAGGCTGTCCCTGGCTTTCCGGGGGTGGGGGGGCAGCGATGCTGCTGCTTGGGAAGTGGGTGCCGGTGGAAACCGTGGCGGCGCTCGCCGGCCCGCCACGCGCCTCCCGAATTCTGCCTATGCCACGCTGGACGGAAAGCAGGGCCCGGAAGCCCAGCTCTCAGGCCTGGGGAGGCGCGGCAGGCTGGAACGGCCTCGGGGGCACAGTCAAAACGCACACCCTCCTTTCCGCCACTGTCTTTGGGGGCTGAAGGGTACCGTGCCCTGAGGGGAGGGAGAGGCCGGGGAGAGGCTCTCCCTCTAGGGGGAGGCAAAGGAAGCCCCACGGAGGCCAAAGAAGCCCTGCTGAGAGGGGCGGGCGCTGGAGCTGCCCGTCCAGATCATTCCCTGAGCAGGCGCCCCAGTTCACACGTTCGAGCCTGTTCTTCACAAAATGGGGGCACTCTGCATGCGCCTCTGAGAGCGGGCCCAGCAGTCCCAGGCAGGGATCGGGTGGGGCGCGGGGGGTGGCAGAGGGTCTCCTCAGAGGAGAGCGCCCCCGCCGTGCCTCTGTGCTGCGCAGCACTGACCGGCTGATCTCCAGGAGCATCGCGGCCTCGATCCGTTCCTGCTCTTCGGGGGAGGCAGGGGCGTCACCCCCACCTGCTTCCTCCAGGTAGCTCCGGATAAAATGCAGCTGCAGGAAGACCGCAAGCTGGAGGGGCCAGGAGCCGGAAAGGCCTCCCACAGCGCAGCGCAGCGCAGCCCCCTCCCCGACCTGGCTCTCCTCCCCCAGCCGGAATGCGGCCCCTCCCCTCCCCGTGCTGCTCCAAGATTCCCCACCCACACGCTCCCTCCTTCCCTCCCAGGGGGGCTTTTCCGCTCTCCAGCAAACTCACAGCAAAGGGTTCTTACTGTTTTGTGAGGAAGCCTAAGGGGGGGGTGGGGGTGAACCCCCTCAGCTGCCCCAGGCCTGCCTCAGCAGACGGAGCTCCAGAGGGCGGGGGGGGGGGCTTTCGGGGTCTGTTTTATGCAACAGGAAAGCCCCCACAGGCGAAGCGACCCCCCAGCTGTCCGCCCGAAGGCAGGGCCACACGTGGCCGCAGGCGCTCCCCGGCCGGCACCCGGCCGGGCAACAGGCTGCCCCAGACCCGAGGGGCCCCGCGGCGCTCCCGCCTTCCCGGGGCACAGCCGTCCCGGCCCCACGGCCCCGAGGGGCGCAGGCGGTGCGGGCGCGTACCTGCTGGCCGTGGCTGGGGTAGTTTTCCGGGCGGGACCTGTAGAAGGGCCACTGGCCGTGGCTGTAGTCGTACACCCACTCGCAGAAGTGGTTGGCGATGTCGAAGCCCCTGCAGGAGAGCCGAGGGCGGGCGGGTGGCAGCGGTCACACACGCCGGGGCAGGCCGGGGCCTCCGGGCCGCCCCCCAGAAGGGCCCCCGAGCAGCCCCCCGCCCCCACTCACCGGTAGTTATAGCTGCTGTACTCGAAGTCGATCAGCATGAGGCGGTCGGTGGGCGCGGCCCCGCGCCCGGCCAGGAGCAGGATGTTCCCTGGGGCAGGGAGGCAGGGCGCTGGTCAGCGGGGGGGGGGGGCACAACCACCCCGCCCCCAGAGGCTGCGGCCCCGCACGGCCTCACTCCCCCGGCCCCAGGGGCTCCGTCCCATCCTCTCCCCACCAGCAGAAGCCCCAGGCGAGAGCCCCCCGCCCCCCCCGCAGTCGGCAGCTCACCTTCTTGCACGTCGTTGTGGCAAAAGACCACAGGGGACGGAGTGGCTTCGAGCAGAGCCCTGCAACGCGGGGGGGAGCAAGAGGGCTGGGTGAGCGGAGGCACCACTTCGCATCGGCCCCCCCAGGACACGCCTGGAGGGGAGCAGTGAGGGGCCCCCAGAACAAGCGGGAAGCCTTTCCATCCCGGGCCCCTCGCAGCCACAGGCGCGCCGGCCCCCCAAGGCCCCAGCGGAGCTCCCCGTCCTGCACCAGGGGGCGGCCGACTGGGCTCCCCCTCCTGCCACACGCTGCTCATCTGGCGCCCCCCACTGGCCAACTGCCCGCAGGGCACACAGGCCCCTCCGCCCGTCTCATGCGCAAACGCCTCCAGCGGCCTGGCTCAGGAGGGTCGGTGCTGGCAGAGCGGGCAGGTGCCCAGTGCACCTGGGGGGCAGAGGCGGGGCTCAGGGGACCGGGGAGCCCCGGCCCAGGCCCCCACACCAGCTTCCTGCACCGCCGCCACCCCCCCACGCACCTGAGGCTGCGCATCTCTGCCTCCAGGTTGTATGCCTTGAGTTTACGGAGCTTCTGCAGCTGGGCCTCCTGCGGGAAGGTGAGCTCGGAGATCTGCTTCAGGTACCTGTTGGGGGGGCAATGAGGACTCTGCTGCCGACACCCCCAGCCCAGGAGCGGAGGGGGCCTGTGCCCTGCCCAGCCCCCCCCACACCCCAGAGTGCTGCCGCTCTGCCCTGCGCAAGGGCCCACTGGACCCCCGCGCTGGAACGGAGAGCACCGGCGGGAGGCTCCTTCGAGGGGGCACGCACGCGAGGCCTGCGCCTCCGAGCGAGGGAGAGGCGCCCCAGTCCAAGCCACATGCCTCCAGGACAGTTCTGGGAGCTCCCACACCACGTGCCCCCGGGGCCCCCCCACTGCCCCGCGGGCGCTACCTCTCCATCGTCCCAAACAGCCACTTGGGCTCCTTGTTGAAGGGCATCACCATGCCGTGGAAGCGAGCCATCTTGGAGGCGATCTCCCGCGATATGCTGGGCTCCGGCAGGTCCTCCGTGAGCAGGCGGCGGCTCTGGCGGGAGGAGCCATGGGGGGCCTGAGGCGGCGGGCGGGCAGCCCCCCGCACGAGAAAGGGCGGTTCGGGAGACGAGTGCTCCGCTGCCAGCCGGTGTGACAAACGGGCGCAGGCGAGCTGCGGCCCTCAACCATTTCGGCCCGCAGCGCACCTTGGGCAGTGTGGCTGCTGGACCCCGCCAACAGCCTGCAGGTTGTCGGCAGCCGCGTCCCCGGGCCCGATGATGCAGCGCGCCGACAGCACGCAGTGGCCGGCATATAACCCATGCCGTGCGTGCCGTGGCTCCCGAAAGGCCACCACAGCTTGGAGAAGCCAAGCCGGCTCGTTTTGCTCCGGGCATGGAGCATGGCCCGCGGACACCCGAACGCAAGGGGGCCACTCGGGACAGCGGGAGGCTTCCCCTGTGCCCGCCAGGTCTGGAGGGGCCGGGGCGGGGCGTGTTCGGCAGTCACGGGCAGGGAACGCCGCAGCCGATCGGCTCCCCTCTGCTCTCGGGGCTGCGCACGGACGGCGGAGAGGGTGCCCTACCGGGATGTACTCCTCCAGGCGACCCTGAGGAAAGATGCCGTAGAGCCGTGGCCCCAGCGCCCGCTCAGCCAGGATGGCGAACATGACGCTCTCGAGGACCAGTGAGTCGACACCCTGTGGGAGGAAAGGCAACCGCGTGGAATCCTCCTGGCCGGGCCGGGCCGGGCCGGCCCCACTCGGGCGCCCAGTCCTCTCCCCAAGAGGGACTCCTGCTCTGGACCGGCTGGAGCGGCCTGCAAGGAAAGGGTCTCCGGGCCTGACCAGGGAGGGCCACAGAACTGTGGCAGGCTGGCATCCCGTGGCAGCAGCATGGGCGTGCCACCAGTGGGGCAAGTGGGCCAGATGGCACTGAGGCCAGCTCACCAAACCGTGCCGAGGGACCATGGTGGGTGGGTGTAGGCCACACCAGCACCCCATGCCCAGTCCCTGCACTCCAAGAACGGAAGGCCCCCGCTGGAAATGCACGAGCCCGCTGCTCTTGGAGCAGGTTTCGGGGCCGGGGGGCACTGGCTCCGGATGAGGACGGTGGAGCTGGGAAGGGTGGCCTCAGGTGGAGGAGGGAGCGCGGTTCTCAAGGTCTGGAGGGGGGACATGGAAGAGGAGCTGGAGCAGCCTGGTCTGACTCCGGACCCCATGATGCGGTGCTGGGGGAGGTGGCCAGCCAGGGGGCCTGGGCACAGCGAGGGGGCCCGCCCACCTCCAGAGGGGCACTCCCAGAGCACTGCGGCCCAGGGTTACCCAAAAGGGGGGGCTCTTGGAAACAGCCCCTAGTTTGGGTTCAACAAACTGCTCTGTGCATGCCCAGGCTCTTTCTTTGCTGGCTACAGCTTGATGGATGTACATTGGAAATCGCTTTGGGCAAAAAGCTGCCTGTTGTTTGAGAGAGAGAAGGGGAGCAGCCCCGGGAAGACTTGAGCACCACGTGAGCCTCCGCAGCCTCGAATCACGGACACCGATGACCAGCGCACGACCGGCTCCCAGCACAGAAAGCGGCAGCCAGGCAGGAGACCCCCCCCCCATCCGGGACCAAGTTGGAGACGGGGGGGTTTGGTGAGGGCCTGTGCCATGGGGGGGGTCTCAAGGACACGCCCCCGCCGAGGCCCTGAGGATCCATCCACGTGGATCGGGGGAGCCAGGAAGCTCCACGGCACCACCCACCTGAAGGATGACTCCGTAGATGCGCAGCAGGACCTGGCGCGGTTCGTTCTCCGCGACGGCCACGTGGTCGGGCAGCGTGCACCTGTACAGGAGGTTGCTGAGCCCCCCGCTGCGGAGAAAGCAGAGCCCGGAGGGGAGGCGGCTCAGCCACGGCCACCTCGCAGTGCGAAGACTGACACGGCTACTCGGGCTACACATTTGTGGACAACACACACACACACGGCTGCGGGGGCTGCGCATTCCGCAGCCAGAAAGAACTGAAACGCAGAAAGCACAGGCAGCGGTTGCTTCTTTACTTACACTGGCCATTCACAAAACAGTTGGTGGGTGATGGCAACAGACCTCCTTGCCTTTAAAATTTAAATAAAAAACAATAAATACCCTTGCTTTGACCCCGACAGCCTTCTATGCGTGGTGCAGCACAGGCGGGGGGCTGTGGCCAGGCGCACCCCCACTCCGCGACAGGGGCAAGGTGGGGAAGGCCTCTCCAGCCATGAAGAACGGGCCAGTGTCCAAGGCGAGGCAGCGGCTGCTGCTCGGGTTCGGCAGGAGGCAGCCCAGGGCCTCGGCCTCGGCCTGGGCCTCCCCGGCCCGTCCAGCGTGGGTGGACTGAGGAATGCGCCGGGAGAGCGGTGTGGGCACGGCCTGCGGGTGCCGCGCTTCAGCAGCTGCTTCCCCGTGCGCGGGCCCACAGCACAGCCAGCCGGAAAGCCGCGCTGAGCCTGCCCCACGTCCTCTGCCTGGGCCCTCTGCCCGGACGCCGGGCCCTTGCCAAGCCACACTGAAGGCCGGGGCTGTGGCCACACCGGATCCGGTCCCTGGCTGGCCGAGCGCTCCCGGCCGCCGCGGCGGGGCAGCCACCCGCCTCCGCCTCTTCCTGCGGCCGGAGCCAGCGAGCAGGAGGGGCAGCCCGGCCGGGAAGGGCGAGTCACGCTGCCAAAAAGCAGCTATGCAACCCGCGGCCCCAAGCCGGCGGGGACTCGTGTGGCGGGGCGCCCACGGGGAGCGCCCTCTGCGCCAGCACGGCCGGCAGCTGCCCTGTGGCCCACGCCATGCGCAACGGGCAGCCGTGCGGGGGACTCGACCCAGGCAGCGAGGCCGCGGGGGCAGCTGCGAGGGCGGGCCGCTCGGAGAGCAGGGCTCTGCTCCTCGCTGGCCACGGGGCTCACGAGGAGACTCTGGGGCGGCGGGCCCGGCCCACCTCGCAGGGCTGTTGTCCCGAGGGC